CCCCCCTGGCGAGTATGCGCTATACAAAGATGAGTGATGAATTGGACCGAGGAGCTCTGGACACGAAAATCAATTCAAAACTGCTCAAACTGAACATGTCCGCGTTTAGAAAATCCTTGCCACGAGACGAGACTCTGAAGTCTTGTAGTTTTTGTTTTGACCAAACGAAATATGTTTGCCTGCTGTATATTCGAGAGCAACGAAGATGAGCAAGGCTGGACGGCGGGCAAAAGCGTTGCGTATTGTAAATGCTGCGAGAGAGACAAAAAAAATTAAAAACAGAAAATAAGTGCAGAGTGCAATGCTATTCTCCGTTTTCTGTTTTGTAGTACTGCATGAATTCCATAGAAATGCCTGTTTTAATTGTGGTCGAGCGCTATGTATTTCCCCCATTGCAAGAATACGCATTTAAATCCGGAAAAGACAAACAAATGTCCGTGCGTTCCCTCGTGCATTTTCATGTCCAATTAAGATTATTATAACAATGGGTGAGTGATTTAAGATCGATGTTTGCCGCCACGTAGGCCCTTAGTCTCCCTTCCACTGAACCTATGTCAAATAGGTTCGGTGCGACATTAGTCCGACGTTTGCCCTGTGCCTAAGTTGATTCTAAAAGGGGTTAAACAATTTAAATGATCTGAAATGGCGTGTCATTGTACACATGATATATTATTATTTTTACATAATTAAGTCTTCGAGAACGAGAACGTAGAACACAAAAAGCTCTTAGTTTTCCTTCTTTGAGCTTAAAAAGCCCACTTTCAGCTATTCAAACGCGTTTTTAATGCTAGTTTGGTACCCCAATTTTAAAATAACAGACTTAAAGGTTTTACTAACCTGTTTTTCGAGCGAAAACAACAGCTGCAAAGACACAGAAAATACGACACAAGTAATGAAAGCTGGGTTTTAAGGCATATGAATTTGGTTGCAATCGGCTTGCTGACGTCAAACATGTTTGATAGAAGTCTTCAGTCACCGCTAATTCTAGCTGTTGCTCGAGGTCACGTAAATAGGAAATTCAATCCTAGTTTTTTGATCATCTTACGTATTTAGAAAACGCGTGCTTGGGTTTTTACGAGAAAATAAAATAATAACCATGAATAATAATAAAGGGAAAATAGTACGACTGAAGAGAGGTAAGAAAGATGGAAAGACCCTTGGCAGTTTCAAACAGAGCATGCAGAAGAAAGAGAGAGAGAGAACCAATATTTTGGAAACAAATATGAAGAACCATTGTTGGACGTGTGTGACCTGTTCTGCGACTTAACCCCAACACATCACGTATACCTGCCGCAAGAGTTTCACGCTACTGCTCAAAGCGCATGCTCAAGAGGTCAAAAAGTGGGATCAAGGGCTATAACAATTGCTATATTTTAGTATATTTGATTTTAACTTTACGCTACTTGCTCTTGAATATTTAATGAAAATTTGTAAGAAAAATACAACTGAATATAGCAATTTTTAAAACCCACGCTTATGAATAATTTTATTCTACATTCCTATTCAATCGACAGGCCACTGGCTATTCAGAAAGAGCTACCGTCGTAAAACAATTGAGTACGATTTCATCCCTGCTGGCCATACGTCCTCAGTACCAAATCATTCAACGAAGCACTGAAGATATTTGGTAAGAGTAATGAAACTCTCTACATTATATCTGTAAGAGCTCTTGAAAAGGCATTTCAAATTTCTTTGTTTACTGAGTAAATATTGTCCAATTAAAGACATAAAGACAGACACTGGTCTCTAACTCGGGTTTCAAAACTCCTCCGGTCCCAAAGACTAATTATTTTTTATCTAATATTTTGTAAAAGTGGTACCAGGACGTCTGATACTAAAACAACCACCCCATTTTCATGTTATATTACATTTTATACTACTTATTAAGAGTACAAATATTATTGCACTGTTCGGACAAAATCTCTAGGAGAATATCCTAGTAAATATCGATTGTTTGCCTAAAGTACGATTCAATAAATTACCATTCAAAAGTCCCTAGACTCCAAGACGTTTCTTGTTAAATTTATCGGATCATTTTCTGTTTCAAATCATTAAATGTTATACTATTTGTTTACCATCTTAGACTATTTAAGTGAGCCAGGCTTAGTAGAGAAGCATACTTTGGAGAGATCAACCAGTTCAGCTTCAACTTCAACTTCAACTTCAACTAAGAATCATGAAAGCCATTCTCGTCGCTTGTGTTCTTGTTGCTCTCTTTGCTTCTCAGCAAATTGAAGGTTAGTTACCATCCATTATATTGATTAAGAGCTCGAATTCTTCCTTGTAAAATGCTAAATTTAATAACTTGAATATACTTTGAGCTCATGATACGAGCAGCCATGGTACAGAAACTCAATGGCTAAAGTTTCGACCAGAACCATTTTTTCACTTGCATTTGTCGTTTTATGTCTCATAATATAAAATATATATTGTAATATATATATACTTATAATACGTATTTATCTATATGCCAAAATATACTAAAGTATCTTCTCTTCTTACAATTTTTCGTTGAGATTAAATATAAAGTAAATAAGCAGTTTACTCCTACCGAGGCACTGTTTTCGATATGAAAGAATTAGACTGATGTTTGTAAACTTGACTGTTTCAGCTAAAGAATGTCCTCGGTTCTGTACTATGCAGTACGCTCCGGTATGTGGCTCTGATGGTGTCACCTATGGCAACGAATGTATGCTTCGTGGAGCTTCTTGCAGAAGTGATAACAAGATAGAGCTGGTCCACACAGGACAATGCTAAGAAGACGACCCATACTCAAGGAAGTGACACAGAAGAATACAAAAATAGTTTAGTTTTGGCACGTGCATGAGTGTAGATGACAATACTTCTTGACTTCTTTCAAAACTGTCCGGCGTAGACGTCTAAATAAAACAGTTAAGCAATAGAATGTTTGAAGTTTTTTGTTCTTCTTCTCGTTACATAGTCCTTCTGCTTCACAATCATTTGCATCATATTCATCATCTACTTCTCCCCCTTCTCCTCTTCCTCCCCCTCCCCCTCCTCCTTCTCCTTAGTCCTTCTTCTTCTTCTTCTTCTTCTTCTTCTTCTTCTTCTTCTT